GCTGAAAATAATTATAATTACAAATTTATTATCTTTTAAATAGTTTATATTTCGGATTAGTGATGTTTTCCAACGATTCTCACCTCTCTCGCTGATTGTAGCATGGAGCCCTCTATCGGTAACTCCGCCATCGGACGTGAATCTGATCCAGGCGGCTCCAGACCATGTGACATAATCAGCCGGCACTACTGACCCACTATGCCCCATATTACACTTGATTCCTCACTTGGTGAATCACCGTTGCCAGCATACAGCTTATCGCAGCATTCTTCACTTGAGAAATCATTGAAAGTAACGACTAATCTACCAGTGAATTGCCCAATTACAATCCATTCACAGCGGGCGTTGTTTGGGTAGTTACTTGGATAATTTGGCGTTGTTATATCCACGCTTCCAAGGTACGGCAATACAATGGTTTCCGTACAGTTTCCTAGAAGAAGAAAAAAACATTTAGAAACAAATAAACTCGTAGAAACATATATATGTACACAATAAAGATACAACCGATGACAAAATATTGTTGCCTTTTTAGTACACTCGCCAAGAATTCTATATGTCACGCACTTTATGCATGGTTTAAAAGCCATGCATGAGTCTATCACGTTTATACGAACACACGAACATTGTACACAGTGAATACACATTACATCAATGAGTATCAGGTTCCGAGATGAATGGCGGTCACTTTTATCGCTAAGAAGGCATTAAATTCAGCATTTCTACCATTCTGAAGCCGAATCTCTGCTATTTATCGGCGGATTTGGTTAAAAGTTTATATTACACATTACTGAGATATTGCAACCCGTCATATTGTACCTCAGATTGAGCTGAAAATGAGCGAACGCGGTTTCCGGAGCCTTATCTATAAATTATATTACAATCGTCTCCGGACATGAAATTGACACGCTGCTCGTGTGTATGATATAATTTGTTTACCTCCGCACACTTCGAAGTAGTCACCGCAGCAAGTACCAGAAATTTCACATCCGACTTCACAGCTACATGCATGATCTACGTTGTAAGTACCACATAATCCTTCGCATTTACCGCCATCTATTGAAAAAAATTAAAACATAAAGAACCTAATGTATATTGGGGCAAACAAAAAAATAAAATAAAACTACTAGTATATATTAGTACAATACTAAATATAGATAAATTATTTTACTGTGCATATTCACGAACATGTATTTAATAAATGCTGTACGTAGAACGTAGATCTTGTTGCTGAGATATTGAATGAGTTTTTAGAACAAATTAAACCGTTTTATTTTTTGGCCAAACCTATTTAAAAAAGTAAGCTAAGGCATAACTGGGTTCCCCCTAAGCATGAAACAAACTAGTTTAGTCACTTTGTGAACAGGGAGAACATTCTCATGAACTAGATCTAACCAGTTGAGAGTCGGTTATACCACTGCAACTTGTCATATGTCACTGCTGAATATGCCTCATGCTGTAAATGACTGTAAATTTCAAAACTCGTGCGAGGGCGCTGTTCATTGTAAAGTATTTCGTTCAGAAACCCGTATAAGATCCGTTAGTGATTACCCACACTTAACCATGAGAAAGTCACACACAAACATAATTATATGTGCTGTGTAAAGAACGAAAGTATCTAAAAATTAAAAATATTACTATTGGAACTACAAAAAAAATTCTACTATAAAATCACTCGTTGTGACTGACCGGTTATCAACACTTGAATAACGAATAATGTTGTAGTTTACGTAAGAGGTCGAAAGACAGGCTTCTTTGCTTGATGAATACAAATTTAAGATGTATACAAATTTAGCAAACGCCCCCCTACAAATATTATATAATAAATTTGTTCGCATTGGATTCACCTATGTCAGTGAGGAGAGCACGGAAACCTTTGCATGTCACGGAACTATCACTGAAGAATCGCATCCACACAGCCCCGGCAGTTGACAAAAAGTCCGCTGGTCTCAGGGTACCCGAGTAGGCCCATATGACACTGGAAGTTGAGTCTGGCGTATAACCGTTCCCCGCAAAGTATAGATCAACATCAGGTTCTGTACAAAAGTCTAAATATTCAACTTCAATTTGAGTTCCTCGCTCGGTCTCTACAATCCATTCACATCTGGAGTGGTTAGGATAATCACTCGGATAATTCGGCGTGGTAACTTCGAATGTTCCGCCTTTCGGAATGGTCACATGTTCTGTGCAGTTACCTACATAAAATACGATCGAAAGCATTGGAAACATTAGGCGAGGTAGCAACAGCTGTCAAATAATAATTTTACAGTCTACGCTCGGAATATCAAGCGTTCAACTGAATAAAGGAACGACGACGCTGACGAGGTCACGTGACTGCAACAACGAGGTGCAGCGCCTACAGTAGATGAAATAAGAACCACATGAGCAGACGATAACCAAATGTTCAACCACAGTCGCGTTACTTTCGGTGATTTGTTGTGGATATCAAAGTTTTGTTCTCGTTTGATTAAAGCCAAGTGAAATTATGTCAAAATCACAGCAGTAATAATTACGTCGGTCGCTAATTAGTTTTTTTTTTACTCATTTGTTTGCCAAAATTGAACGTCTTCATGAATAATGTGACCTAATGTGAAAAATGCCAAATACTATTTTGTATCACAGAATGCTTGTTTGCTTTAACTCAAGGCAAAGATGTACGCCAAAAAAATAATTTTATAAACAAAGCTAGCAGAAACACGACTCTGGTTACCTGCACATTGTTCAAAATAATCCGGACAGCAGCTTTCGTCAACGAAGCAGTCGTACATGCAGTTGCAGCTATGTCGCGTGTTATATCTATTGCAGAATCCTTCACAAGAACCGACACCTGAAATAAAATTAACATTCTGACGTAAGTGTGAAGGTGATTGTGACACGTGTTTGACTTTCAAATTATCTGATTTAGTAATAAGTGTTTCACAACGTCGGCATGGGATCACTTACCAATATCTTGTAGAGCAACAACAAACCCTGGGGCAGTTATTTGGGAATCTGATAAAAAACGCATCCACACACTACCGCCCTGGGATAAAAAGTCATCCGGTGGAACAGAGCCGCCATAGGCCCAGATAACCGAGTTGTTTTTGCTCGGATCGATGCCATCACCGGCGAAGAAAAGGTCACAGCACTCCTCTGTTTCGAATTCTAGAAACGTGACGTCGATTTTGGTCTTTAGTTCTGTCGACACAATCCACTCGCATCTAGCATCATTGGGATAGTTGTCAGGGTGATTTGGTGATGTAATAGTAGTATAACCAAGGTAGGGGAGGAAGATTTTCTCAGTACAGTTACCTGACAATGTGAGCAAACAAAAAAGCTTAGAGACAACTACTACGTGCTGTATCGATATTCATACTTATTGCTAATGTCACAAATACACTGTTAGTGATTTACCCACTTTTATTTACAATATTTCCCAATCTAGTTATTTCTTAGCGTTAATTCAAGCCACATATGTATCATATTTTATCGAAATCATTTTACTAATTATAAATAACATTAAAACAATCTCAACCAATATACAAATGTGCTAATCTTCGAGAAAATTATGTTGATCAATTATTGACTAACCTGCGAACTTTTTATTTAATAGCGCCATTCACAAGGCCACAACAATTTCATTATGTGATATTAATGGTAATTAGCTGATCCATTATCGGATATACAAGGCGTAACTATGTGACATGCGAGGTTATGGCTTTCAGTGTTTAATGTAATGTGTATTGTAGTATCATATGACTGTAACAATTACAATGGTTTGTTGCGATCGATGGTATGTTAAAATTAGGTTTGTTAAAAAAAAAAATTTT